TGGACCTGGAAGACCGAGGGCGCCCCCGGCTGGGATCTGCAGGATCTTCTGGCCGAGGGCTTGTTCCCGAGTCCCTTGTCCGATAGACGGTACCCCGGACAATGTTCTTAACTTTGTTCTTCTTCTGTGTTTAATCTTCTTCTCTAATTTGTTCATCTCTTCGATTCTATTTTCCATCTGCATTTGTTCTTGAGCCATTGGGCGCACGTGCATTCATTTATCTTTGTTACATATGACATGAGAATGAAATTCTTGGCATTGATTCAGTAACTTCACCTTTGACCGGGCTTTCCACCTAGTCTGTGTTGGATTGGAGATTCTGTGCATGGGGCAAGTTGCCACCTAGTTGGCTTATGTTCTGTTCAGCTGTTGAAGTTATCCGACGGACCGGACTGCTTCCTTCCCTGCCTTAGGCTCACAGGCTCCCATCTTCCGTCGTTCCTTCCTTTTTGGCCGTCGAAGAGACCATTCATGAACAATCCAAAATCCTTTTTATTTGGCAAGCTACGCGATGGTGGATCGATAGCAAATAAGCCCTTCCGTACACGGCTTACGTCACCTCCTGGCACTACCAGCACCTTCCTCCATGATAAATCCATAAATTAATGGGTGGACGGAGTGCGCGACCTCAAAAGAACCTATGTGACTGTCCATTCATTCGAACCATGAACTTATCTATATGTATGGGGTATTTCGGTAACAGTTATAGTAAACAGAGACACGGGGAAGATGAAAAAAAAAATGACGAGAGAGAGAGAGAGAGAGAGAAAACAGTCTGTCCATGTGTAAGAGAAAGGGCGGGGAAATGAATCTTTGTCGGAAGAACGGCGAGCAAGCATGGTAGATGGGATGCATAGATACGATGCAACAAACCGGCAGGCATATGCAGGGCAACACATGATCATCAGAAGTGTGAAAAGGTCGGAAGAACGTAGGAAAGGGAATTGGTGATTCCTTAATGGGGTGAAGGGGGTGGGGAGCATTCAGAGCAAGCCGAGAGCCCCGAACACCGCTACCACCTCCCGGTCAACGTTCAGCAGCCAATCCTCCTGGAAGCGCTGCTCGCCTCCGCAGCCAACGATGAGGGAACGGAGACGCTCCCGGATGAACTCCCGGATGTTGACCTTGTGCAGGATGTCCATTTCATCCCAGGCGCGACGACGCTCGTTCTCCGGCGGTTCGTGGTCGTCGCCGGCGGCCGTTTGCGCGTTGTTCCAGTAGATGAGGTAGTCACCGCCGCGCGGGTCGTCGGGGTTCGTGCCACCGGCGTCTTCGGAGAGCTCGGTCACGATGTCGGTCCACATGGTCATGTAGGATTGGAGGTTGTTGAGGAGGTAAGTCGGAGGCTGGGAATCGGGACCGTTCAGGGTGAGCAGTTGGGTGAGAGCGAGGGCGTGGAGTTTCTTCTGGGTACTGCTCCCGATGTTGTCGTAGTGGAGGAACCACTCCGTCAAGATCCAGGCGAGAGCTTGCTCCTGGGAAGTGTTGGTGGCAGAGGCCACGGCGGAAGTAAAGATCTTGGGGTGGGCCACGGCGAGGCGTGCAAGGACAGAGAAATAGTCCGTCTCCACAACTCCATAGACGGAGGTCTGTTTGCGGTTGGGTCCCGTGGTTTGACTGGCTTCGTAGGCAGAGTGGAGTCCCTCCAGAAGGGCAGGAAGGAAGGAACTGTCGAGAAGGGAACGGGTGATCACGTTGTAGGTGCTTTCGCTACCGCCATCTACCGCTTCGGCGCCACGGAGCATCAGTTCCACGAGACGGGGTACGACGCCCAGCCGCTGGCGAGTGGTGATCTTCAGGAGTGTCTCAAGGGAGACGAGTAGTGGGAAGCGAATCCGATCGCTGAGAATCTCCTGAGGGGCGAGGATGATGTAGGATTCAACAATTTGGAGGGCTTGTGGGGCGCTATCTGTGGCTGCCTCCATAATGGGCATAAGGGCCGGAATGAGGGATAAGATCTCTGGAGAAGCCGGGGATGGTGTTTGCATAAGGATCGCAGACCAGAGGTCGAGAGCTTCGTCGAGAAGGTAGATGAGGGTCTCCTGTATGATCATGAGCATTTGAAAAACTGGCTCAGTGGGATCTGAAGCTTACAGAGCCTGGCTCGACAGAGTTCTGGATTAGAGGCAAGATGATTGAGTGATACCGAACTGAGTCTTGCTTGAGGGAATGGATGAGGGACGAGAGAAGTGTGAGGATGGCTTGCTTCATCAGGTGTTCTTCTCCAGAGCTCTCCCAAAGAGGTGGCAGCAAGGACAGAATTTGGTCCGAGAAGGGAGCAATCTGAGTCAGGTCAGAATCGATCGCTGATAACTCAAAGTTGTTGATGCACTTACATGATCTTCCATCTTGACCACAGCCATACGAACAGTATCAAGTAGGCCCATCCTAGTCTCTGAGAGCTCCACTTCTTGAACAAGAGACATCAGGTCTTGGAGGATTGACGGAGCATATGGCAAGAATTCAGTCGGTGAGAACTCAAAAGGGTCGAGCACGTTCTTCAGCTGTCTACCAGCACTGATGCGTACAACCAGGTCATTCAACGGGTCTTTCCGACTGAGCAGATGCTGGAATACTTGATACACGGCATTTCGGTTGAGCTCGCTGGCCTTTACTGGAACCCACTGACCCAGAAGAATGGCGATCCTTCTTCGAAGAAGATTATAGCCCTGCTCATGAAGCTGAACTTCCGGCACGAGTGTGGCCTCGAGGAATTTGTTGAAGTCCAGGTGCTGTTCTAGACTTGCTGCAGATAGTCCAATGGCCGAATAAAGCGAATCCTTCAACAGCACATCGTGGTTGTCGGGGCCTATAAAACATTGTCAATATAGCACTGGTGGCAGAACTCGGCTTAGACTGCTTACTTGCGAAGCCATAGAAGACGTTCAGCAGACGGGGGATGAGCAACTCCTTGAAGTGAATGACAAGGTCAAGGAAGAGCTTTTCCGAGCAAGACCGTATGGAGAACTCCCATGCCTCGGCGATGTCCTCTTCTTTTCTCTCCCATTCTTCTGGGTCTTCTTCCCATTCTTGAAAATCGTTCTTTCTGAATCTAAAGAATTGGGTAACCAAGAGTTCCATGACACTAACGACGAAGTCTTGCGTGAAAAGTTCGGCTTTGATGAGTTCAACAGATTGCTTCTTCTCTTCCTTGTCCTCTGCAGTTTGGTACTTGAATGTCTGCGCAGGGTTGAATGCCATTTTCGAACAAGCTCTAATCAAAAGGAGCGCTCTTAGCCCGGTTTTCTCCATCAGCGACTTGCCCTCTGATTCTCCGTCAGCTCCGAGCTCGCTGTAGTGTTCGCCGAGCTGAGTGACCAGACTCCAATAGGCTTGAACAAGACGAATGCTGTCGGGTAGTAATGCAAAAGAGGCCGGTCGGTCCTTGGCCATTTCCACATGAAGCTTAGAGAGTTGCAAAAGATGCTTCTCGACTGCCCTTTTGAACGGATCTGAAATGGCTGCAGGGCCATTGACGAAGTTCAGAAACCTGCTGAAGTGAGCATGAGTGAGAACCCAGAACTCGCGAACGTCCTTATCCCGGTTAGGGTGCTCAAAGCCGGCAATGACCAGGCGTCGAATAACCTTCAGAGACACAAGGCTTTGTTCCATCATCCCCAGCAATGATGTCTCATCCACCCCTCCTTGCTCCAGCCAAGGTACCCAGGTGTTCACCTTATCCACATATATGCCACCAAGCAGATGGAAGACCTCGGGTGCCACGGACTGAAGATTAGCACGAGTCCTTTGTAAGCGAGCTGTTGATAGCTCTTTGATAATCTGCAGTAAAATTATAAGGGTCCGGGGTAATTGTAACGGGTTCGCGCTAGGCTGGGTGGAGGAGCGGAGGAAGGCGATAATCGAGGAGATTGCATCAGGCCTGCGAGAACAATCAGCCAACGGCAACAAGTCCAGCGCAGTGATGCGACATCACATACCAGTCCTGAGGAAACTCGTAGCGCATTATCTTAGCCAGCATCAAGGCATTGTGAAGGGCGAGTAGAGGGGCAGGTTCCACGACACCAGCTTGGAGTGCCCTGAGCTTGATCTGTTCCTTCTCCTCCTTCTTGATGGCACTTTGCGAGTATGTCAGTCCCTATATATGATTATATGAAGTCAAAGAGCTCAGGGGAGCCTACTTGGTAGCGGTCTTTCGCCAATACTTGTCGATGCCGTTCTTCAACTGGATGATGGCGAGGTATCGAACCTCCGATGGGACGGATTGATCTAGGAATACGTCCTGCGGAGATTAGAATTTATGATGGCAGCCGAGTCCGTGGGAGAAGCTTACCTGAAGGTATGTGTAGTACATCTCCTGTTTCTCCCAATTCTGGAGTTGTTGGGTACCCGTTTGGACCTGCTGTTGGGTTGAGCTCGCCGCTAAGATCAGTGCATTGAGAACATTATGCGGTGTCAGCGGGTTGGCTTCCCCTGCCAACTCGATGATCGAGGCCATGTTGTGCGTGAGATGCTATGTCGTCGGGTATAGAACCGACTAGTCGACGGTGGTATATCGCACGCGTCGTATTGCGCAGCTTGAGGGGTACTCGGAAACTTAATTGCACGCGAGATGGAAGGCGGCCAAGACAGGAACCCCAACGACTTGATGAAGCAAGTGATGCAGGTACAGTTGAGTCCTGAAGTCCTGTCCTGTAAGAATACAAGAAGACTGGGACTGCGGGGGACGGGGAACGGAGGGGAGAAGGAATGTGAGGTGTATTGTTAACAATGACAAGGAGCAACAAGCAGCAGAGAAGCTTCAGGGCCGGTCACCTGCCTGATTCATTGATTCGACTGCTAGCAATCTTTCGTCCCCGCCTCGGCGGGACACTCCGGTCTATAGTTGTTGCGCTCCGAGTAGCCCTAGGGTCGGACCCTGAGCGCTAGGCTCAATGGAGATGTAAGCTTCTTAGGGCTTGGGATCGCATGATATCATATAGTTAGTAGTACTACTTGCTACGTGGGCGACCAATACACATAGATCTAGAATCGAAGGCAAACACCGTTACATACCTATGATGTCTTATGATGCAATCTTTTTTCACACTCTCCATCCAAAGATGTGTAAGAGGACCTATATAAATTATGAAAATGCTGGCTTGTCCTGATCATAATTCACAACCTCGAACTCCCAGCCCAATTCTAAGTGCATCAACCACTATATCCCTTTTGTTGACCGTACCCATACCACCAACTTTCCATCAAAATGAACGACTACGACAAGGTTCGCGTGGCTTTCGACGCCGAGAAGGATTTGAACTCCTACCAGGCTAAGCAGGGCCTTGGTAAGAAGAGTGACTCCAGTATGTGAACCGTTCCCTCACCCGGCCGCGCCTCATTGCCCATTGCTGATGTGCCAAAGCATTGGAATCCGGAATCGATGAGATGGTCGAGAGAAAGTTCGAGACTGGCGTTAGAACCGGCCGAGAGGCTCTTGCCACTGGAAGCAACCGCAAACCCATCCCTGAAGATGAGGGTGGCAGCCGTGACGACCGTGGGCGGTAAGCTAGGCTTCCCTTCTTCTCACATCCTTCACATGAAAGCTAATATTTTGCCCATTATAGTCTTGCACCGGCTGAAGCATTTGAGGGCCCTGGCGGTCCTGAGGATAAGGTGAAGCTCGACTCGGAGCGTCGTCCTGGCGACCAAGACACCCTGGATATTCAGGATTTGAAGCGCGCTGGCCTTGCTGAATAAAATCATCTAATGTACTATACCTGTAACGAATAAATCATGAGGCATGTGAAGATTTTATCAACTATAACAACATTCATCTGCTTGATTGTAGTCGTCCGTGGATAGTGATTACTGGCTGCGACTGGTAACATGAGAGAAGGAAGTAAAGTTAAATTGGAGCGCCACGAAGTGTTCAATGGCTGGTTCGAATTCATGGCTGGCATGTCAATTTTTACCTAGGCTGGGTCAGTTCTTCCGTTCCCGACATCTGTTATGAATGTGTTTCTGTGATTCTCACCTAATAAACCCCACTTTACCTTTTTTTTGCAATGGTAAGTATAAGAAAGGTGTAAATCGCACGATGTCTGATGCCGGAAAGTGTTCTCTATCAGATTCTGGCATTAAATACTTCGTGTTGTTACTATCACAACATGACCGGCCCTACAGAGGAACCGACTGGAAGACAGCTGTTCATCAATGGCAAGGTACGGCCCATACTCTCATATAATGATACGATTTGCAAGCTGATATCATTTTCAACAGTTTGTGCCATCATCAAACAGAAAGGTCTCCGAGTTAACTAGCCCCTGTACCAATGAGAAAGTGGCGGAGAGTAAGTAAGATGTTGAGGTTATGCCGAAAGAACGCAACGTCTAACATGACTTGAATGCTTTCCAGTCTATGAAGCCAACGAGGTAGACGTAGATGCTGCTGTTGCTGCGGCCAGTGTCGCATTCCCAGCATGGAGAGATGTCTCCCCGGCAGACAGAGGTGTCTTCCTGCGAAAGATGGCCTCACTTATTCAGGTTCATGAGGAAGAGTTTGCACACTTGGAAGCTTTGTCTACCGGGAAGCCGGTGTCTCGTTATATCGATTCCAGGATGGCCATTGAGACGTTCAATTATTTTGCGGAGGCTGGATGGACTGCTCAAGGGTCATCCAGTAGAAATACGCCCGGCCACCTCAATATCACGGTGAAAGAACCGTACGGGGTCGTGGCAGCCATCATCCCATGGAATGTACCACTCGCGTCCTTCGCCACGAAGATCGCACCGGCGGTGGCAGCTGGAAACACCATTGTTCTGAAAAGCAGCGAAAAGTCGCCTCTGACTGTGAGATTTCTCTGAAAGTCACACAGTTCACCACTCCTCAGTCCAGACTAATAATGGTATACAATGCAGATTGGTTTGGGGGCCAAGCTGATTGCCGAGGCCGGATTCCCACCCGGCGTTGTGAATATGCTTCATAAATATGGCCCGACCACCGGCAACGCGATAGCCTCACACATGGACGTTCGCTGTATCAGCTTCACCGGATCTAGCTTGACAGGACGGAAGATCCAAGCCGCTGCGGCCAAGTCTAATATGAAAACCGTACACATGGACCTGGGGGGGAAGACCCCTGCCCTTATCTTTGAGGATGCGGGCCTGGAATCTGCAGCTGAGCAGACTCAATTTAGTGTCCAATTCTCCAGTGGACAAACCTGTATCGCCAATTCACGCATTTACGTACAAGAGACTGTAGCTGACAAGTTCCTTGCGATTTTCAAGGATAAATTTGGCGCTGCTATACTTGGAAACCCCTTGAATAAAGCAACGGATCAAGGATCGCAAGCCGATAGAATTCAGTATGAGCGGGTCAAAGCATACCTTTCTTTGGGAGAGAAGAAGAGGGTAAGTTGACACTCGGCGGTGATGCAAAGAATGGAAACTTCATCAAGCCCACTGTGTTCGAGGAGGTGCCGGAGGAGTCGCAGATCATGAAAGAGGAAGTTTTCGGTCCTGTGGTAGTGATCAATACATTCGGAAAAGAAGATGAGGCCATTGCAAAAGCCAACCATAGTGAATTCAGCTTGTATGCATCCGTCTTCACCAAGAATATCGACCGGGCTATGCGGGTATCGAAATTGCTTGAAGCCGGGACCGTTGGCGTCAACTGCACAAGTCCCTCCATGGCGAAGGATATGCCATTTGGAGGCTGGAAGGGCAGTGGTATCGGTCGTGAGGTTTATCTGCATAGCATGGACAGCTATCTGGAGACTAAGTCCATTTTGATCAAGACAAGCTAAGACAAGGATAGTCTTGACTGCTTCCCTCCTCTGGTCTGAACTCATCCCAGACTAACCTGCGCAACTCTCCTCAAAGTTAATTGATTTGATAAGTTAGCGTATTGCAACGAGATACTATGGTTTGGTTTTTGCAGCCTTACAAGCTCGATAAATATAGGCTATAGCTGGAAGCTTAATGACGCACTCAGTGTACACTGAATATGTAGAAGATGATAGAAGACTGTGAGTTCGGACGATAATGAATGCTTCTACACGTGGACCTCAACACCGAAGCAGAAATCGCACCTTACTACCTAGGTCCGAGTGCAATCTAAGTCTGAGTGCACTGGCCACGGCATTCAAAGTAGGACGAAGATATTCGATATTACTACCTATTCATCCAGTTCGGAAGACAAACTATACAAAGATAGCTAAGTAGCGAAGAGAACATTGTTGCACATACACAGCGCATCAAGAGCTCAAACTAAGCTGCTCTTGAGTAAGCTCCCATTCCTGAAGAGCCCATTTTCTGTTATGAAATCACTGCAAGTATACTCTTTTTCTATTTAGATTGGCTCATGGTCAAACACTAGAGGAATTGGAGCATTGATCATTACCATTGTTATGTCTCATTATTCCCATTCATAAAGTACATTGAACGCTCACCCTGATCCACCCTTTTTATGCGTAATAATGAACCACATAGTTCTCTCCCATCACGATCCAGCCCAAGAGAATCGCACCTCAATCACAGAATGCTCATCAGCAGAGCTGCAACGGCACTCGAAAGAGTGGCAACTCCAGGCAACATCATGGAGCTACCAGTGTTGGGAATGGCAGATGATGAAGCAGAAGAAGAGGAAGAGGAGTTGGAACTGTTCTGCTTCCTGGTGGCAGTGACGTCGACATTATACTTGGATTTAGTGTCGTACGGGAAAGGGCTGGTGTAGTTGTAAGTAGGCTCAGTGTTGGCAAAGTTCTTCTTCACAATGTCAAGAATGCCATGGCCAGCCGAGCAAGTGCCATTAGTCAAAGGGACTGGCCACGCAGAAGAGTACTCCGAGTAATCATTATCAGAGAGCGGGCCAGGGTAGGTCTCGTTAAGGTGGAGATTAGTGGTGTCAACATCGTAGTTGACGTAACCGGTCTTGTTGGCCACAATTTCGAGGATGTTGGCGCCACAGTCCCAACGCCCAAGGGAAGGCAATCCCCAGTTGGCCGAGACGGACGCAATGACGGAGTAGTGGGTGTAGAAGGTGTCATCCTTAGTGCCCTTGAGGTTGTCGGGAATCACACCACCCAACAAAATACTGAAGATTTTGTTTCCCTTGGGGTAGGTCTTGTCCTCATCAAAGGTGAGAAGCAACAAGGTATCGTTCATGAAGTAGGAGTTGTTGAGCAACGGAGGCACCCAGCTGCGCTCCCATTTAGCAGCAAAGGTGATGTTTGTGTCGTGAGCATCGTTAGTCATGTTGGGAGTGATAAAAGCCCACTGAGGTAGCTTCTTGTTGGCCAAGTCGTCTTCAAAGCTGGTAAAATTCTTGATCTGACGCAAGCGAGTGCTGTTCTGGGCAATCGAGTCGAACAGAATCAAGGGGTTGTGCTTTCGCACGTAGTCATTGGCATAGGTGACTTGATTAGAGTAATTATACCCTTGGAAGCCAGGATAAGGAAGGTGCTCCTGATATTCACCCCAAGCAATGTTCTTGGTGTCCAGCAAATCAGCGACTGTCGAGACATTGGCCGGAATTTGATGGAAATCATCGTTGTCCATGCCAAAGGTGTCGCCAGAGGCCGAGGCACAGTAATTTGGCTCGGAAGGATGGGTGACTGCGTAGAAATTGGTCCTATGTAGAGCGCCGTGTTAATGATAAACCTTCCTGTTCTTCTTATTGATTGCGAAAGTCACTCACAGTGTGATACCTTGCGAAGCCAGCCATTGCACATTCTCGTCCGCAGCAGCATCCTCGTAGTCCTTCCCATGATGTCAGCAGAATTCGTGATGATAGGAATGCATCAGGTCCATACAATGTTCTCAAGCCAGATCTGATAGAAGCGGTTGAAGACAAGACCTTCGACATTGGAAACGGGAGAGTACGGCTCAATTGTGGCTGCGGCCTTCTCGATCTCCGTTAGAGAAGGCTCAGAGACATTGGCGAGCTGGGCGTACGCCACGGAAGCGGCTGCAAGCAGAGCGGCGGCGGAAGACTTCATTGTGACTTGATTTCTTCCAAGACAGAACTATCTTGACAATCACCAAGACAAGGACGGTAGATGAGAGAATGATCAGCGCTCAGTCAGAATATTGGGGAAGGACTTCTAGTCCCATATTTATAGGCTTTGGAAAGAGAGAAGAAGTGCATGACTCCGAGCCACGCGAGACCATGTGCCCTGACCATGGGCTAGTGACTTGATCCATAGGATGAGGTTCCACAGAGCGGATAGTCGGCCAGGGACCGTACTGCACGTTGAAGCTGAAATGGACCACGCGGATCAAAGAAGACCTTCTATTCGACAATTTGCAGTCTGGCCTATTCTTGCTCAATCCTGGTCTAATCGGCAGCTGAGGTGACATCGTTAGATCTCGCTGCACCTTTCACTTTTCCAGAACAGCCGAAGTGGGTAATGAACATGGAGTTCCAATTCCATTGACCACGTTCCTCGAAGATGGAGAAGGGCACACCTGAGATTATGCTCGGATTGTATAGGGCCAACTGGGTTTGCCCCACGGGCTAATCCCCGATCGGTTTTAGTGAGCCCCTATCAGTGGGGTAACAATTGGCAACAAGTGCAGGCTCCCGTAGCACGTGCGCCTGTCGCTGGCTCTGTGAGGACTCTTGAATGCAGGGCAGCAGGACATCCATCCATGATAGCTGCATCCTGCCCGCTTCTATCACTGCACCTTCTAGGATGCTAGTCTACCTATGGTGCTCACAGGGTCACTTGCGCCATATTTTCATCCATCTCTGAGTCGAGTTACTTCCAACGTCTGACCATGGGGCTAAAACTGACCAACCACCTTTGTCATAAATGTCAGTAGAGTACGAAGTACCTAAGACTGAAAGCAGGATGTGGTGAGAGGTTCAGCTCTCGCCGGTCAGCTTTGGGATAGGATCTTGGCTACAAGGTTGGCTGCAGCTCCAAGCCGGGCTCCAGGCTGGGCTCCTACCTTTCGACTATCCGCGCCAATTCAAGGCATTGTGCTCTGCACTCTTTCAAGTGAACAGTTGCGATGACCCTGAACCATTTTATCTCCTCTACAAAGCGGTAATGCCTCGATATCTCAAGTACTGGGCTTTCAAGATCGAAAGGCACATTTCAGGCACATTCCCCTCGGCCAGTCTAGCACATTATTCACCTTCGGTGCCCAGGGCAGCCTTATTTGATGAAATGCAAAGGAGTGCAAGTTCTATGTGAATCTCGGTCGAGAATCACAACCTGGCAGTCTGGACGGATGACATGCATAGCCTTGACCTCTCAACGTAGCATTGAGTGGGCTCGGCACTATCACAGTCAAGTCCGACAAGTTTATCTCTCAATTTGGTTGGGAAGATACCCCGTACATTCATTGCACTTATCGGACAGCTGCATGCATGTCGATTTCCATGCCGTGCGGCTGGATAAGGGTTCTACGGCGCAGGAGAGGGTATTGCAGATATCAAAAAGATCGAAAACCATATCACCTTGAGGGGGCGTTTTCTGATCTCACCTTTGCGAGACTTCAACCCCACCGGCCAACTTACATCTGATCCCTGATGCATTGTATATCTATACACTGTTTTCGCCGTAGAGTGCATTTCAGTGTGACTGAGTCAACAAACGGAGATGTTGAGAGATTCCGGATCCTCATAGCGCTGAATCCACGAGGCTTGATTTCAGTCAAGGAAGATGGATGAGTATTTTTTTGTCTATGTATTTGCAGTACTCTTGTTGAATTGACAGAGCCGACGACATTTGCTTATCTTTCCATTGATGTCACGTGCATCGTGTCCAACCTCGGCAGTCTCCCTTCCGGTCGGGGGTACCGAGCGAACGAGCAATCAGCCTCGCTAGCATGATCACCTCCGATACGACTTTCAGGTCTTTCCTGGATATTGCAAGATCATCGACACGATATTGCGAGACCTCTCTATTAGATAAAACCAAGTCAACCCAACAATGATCTTGCGATGAGTTCTACAAACTTCGCCGCTGCTCAAGAGCGGGTTCTCGAACGTCGTCGTCTCCGCGAGGCCGAGGCTCGCTCCAGGCTTGCTGAACAGCAACAATCCCACCCTCTCAATCACGCCGCCCTTCAAAATCTCCCATATCCTCTCAACAAACTACCTTCGTCGGGAATTTCCATATGGAATGCTATAAGGGGCCGCGAAGGACTGAGACCAGCTTATCGCGTCGGTCAGGTGGACGCCGAATTGCTGGATGAGGAGCTGCTGGGGTTGCTCAAAGGACAAGTTGGAGATGCATTGAAGTACTACGGTGTTCGTTTCCAAACTACCTGTGTACACTTAGTCGACATACGCTAATCTTTACTCCCGATAGCCTCAAATGCGTGAAGATTGGTCCCACGAGATCCAATTCGCTCTTCGTGCGGCCTTGTTCAAGCTTTCGATCTGGGATCATGATGCCTCATACGGCGCGGCGTTACAAAACCTGAGATACATTGATAGTCGAAGCAAAGGGCCTGTTCATTCGGCTCCAACCAAGTGGCAGAAATCTCTATATGGTCTCCTCACCGTTGGCGGTCGCTATGCTTGGGGCAAGTGGGAAAGTTGGTTAATAAGCCAAGAAAGTGGCTACGACGAGGTAAGTCAGAGGCCCTCTTGCGAAAACCATTCTGAACTTTGCTCATGGTTTTAGCCATCACAAGGAGTACGAATACTATCGCGAATGACCGACCTCGTCTCCGCCACTCACTCAATCGCCGCATTTACCTCGTTCTTGGTATTCCTGGTCAACGGCCGGTACAGGACACTGGTTGACCGCATTCTCCGCATACGCTTGATGCCGCCGTCTGCACAAGCAAGCCGCGAGGTGTCCTTCGAATATCTGAATCGCCAGCTGGTTTGGCACGCATTCACGGAGTTTCTCCTGTTTCTCTTGCCACTTGTTGGCATAAGCCGATGGCGTCGCTGGCTCTCTAGACTGTGGAAGAAAGCATTATCTGCACTCAAATCAAGTAATGAAGATGACGAGGTTGACGGCAATCAGGGAGAGCTTGCATTCCTTCCAGAACGAACATGTGCGATCTGTTACAAGGAGAACAACCCTGCCGCCGCAACAGAAAGTGACGCCATTGCAGCGTCGGCGTCATCTGGAGGAATTATTGGATCTGCTCAGACTGACATCGCCAACCCGTATGAGGCAGTTCCTTGTGGCTGTTTATATTGCTTCGTATGCATCGTACAGAAGCTGGAAGCCGAAGAGGGAGAAGGCTGGATCTGTCTCCGATGCGGTGAAGTTGTCAAAAAGTGTAAGCCATGGAATGGCGATGTGCTAGAAGACGCTCGTACCCAATCAAGCTCAGGAAAGATTGTGGGGTTCGCTATGGATGGCACTGCAGACACGGACAGCACTCACGGGGGAAAGGAGTCAGAGCGGCACGCGGACAGGACGACCGCATCGCCGGATTCATCAGCAGATGAAGTGATGCATGAGTCTGACCACTGGTCTACGATCGACAAGGGTTCTATGGAAAATCAGGACAACAACTAATCAGAAAGCACGCACGAAACGAGTGGTTTTCGGTGAGGTATGATTTGCCGAGAGCTACCACATCTCTGACTACAATGCGAACTTCTCACCTTGATGAGTCTCATAGATTCATGATGTAACTTAGGATATTGGCTTGACTACGATTTAAAGATACCCAGCAGTTTTTAGGATCCAATCTTGCTGCAGCGACTTGAACAGACGTCAGGCTCCAAGCTCCAAACACATGTAATAATACGGGACCCCTGTCACCAAGCATAAATATGCTTTGTAGGTAAAAGAAACAATACCCATAAAGGAAATCTTATTGGACTACAAAATTTGTCTTTGCCATGACAACTTGGAAGCACTCATGCTTTGCATCTTAGACTACCAATTTAAGCGACTACATGGGTGGACCCACTTGGTCGAAGCTGTCTTCAAATCACAATGAGATTTATTCCGATTACCGCTAGAGTGCCGCGGATGTTGTCCGCCCCCCACAATCGGACACTTCGCCGATGGCGGGGTCGCCGCACTTCCGATCGAGGAGCTCCTCCCTCATAACCTTGAGCACGAAAGGACAATTCTGCCTCAAAATCTTCGCCTGTTCTCTACCAGCCTCGCTCAGCTCTGGGTAGAACAGGCTTAGAGGAGTCCGCGCCAGAAGCTCTACAATACCGACACATTTTCGTTCAGCAAGCTCCAACATGGACCCCACCAAGTCAGCCGGGGCCCCCTCAAATCTCCAAGAACCCAAATACATTGACTTCCCAGCTCTCCCAGCTGATGCGAAGCATGAGGATGGCACTCCTATCTTGAACAGATGGTCTTCGACCATCACGAAGGGCCATGACTTTCCTGGTGCGAAGGTGCGTTAGCTTAATTCAGGTTCACTCACTGCATGACCTCGGTCGCTTATACCAGATTCAATCTAGGCAATGCTTTATGCGGCAGGCATTCCCGACAATAATGCGATGACGAAGAGTCCCCAGGTTGGAGTTGCCTCTGTATGGTGGGAAGGCAACCCGTGCAACATGCATCTTCTAGACTTGGGCAAGACGGTGAAGAAGGCAATCACAGATCAGGGTATGATCGGGTGGCAGTACAACACTGTCGGAGTGTCGGACGCAATAACTATGGGCAGTGAAGGTAGGTATCAGTCAGGGCCTTACATAAACAGGACTGTTACTGACTGGGAAATAGGCATGAGATTCTCCCTCCAAACCCGCGAATTGATCGCCGACAGTGTCGAGACCGTCACATGCGCTCAGTATCACGACGCTTGCATTGCAATCCCAGGATGTGACAAGAATATGCCTGGTGTAGTTATGGGAATGGCCAGACACAATCGTCCCTCAATCATGATTTACGGAGGTACCATTCAAATTGGCTACTCCAATCTTCTTAGGAAGCCTATCAACGTGTCGTCCTGCTTCGAGGCCGCTGGTGCTTATGTATACGACACCTTGCGTCAGCCGGACGATGGAGGCGACACTAGCAAGACCAAAGATGAGATCATGGAT